CTGAATTGATGATTTAATATCAAGGGTGTTATTGAGGACGTTATTGACCTGTTTGCCTTCCTGTCAACCCCAAATTACAAACCATTTATTAAAAGAGATTAAAAGAGCCATCAGTCCCTTGTTAACGGGATTGCAAGTTGAAGTCAGATTTCTGTTGTTGGTCCCTAAATAAGCCTTGCCAGAGACACCCTCCCTCAGGGACACAACACTGGGACATGTCTGACCCTGGAGCTGGTGACCTCCCTGCCCACTCTGGGTGGAATCCACCCTTAAAGTTCCCTCTGGCCTTCTCAAAGTCAAAATTCCAGTCCAAAGCCATCACCAGGGCATTTCACCTTTTTTTTCCTGCAAAAACAACTGCGTTTTTGACATTTCCCTTCCTTTGTCCTTTCAGAGTCTTCCCACCTTTGCTGACCACAGGGAAAGGCTGTGGCCACGGATGTTTCTGGCACCGGGGAAGCTCTTCCTGCTCTTTGAGGGCTTTCCAGCCCTTCCCACGCTGATCTCCTTTGCTCTCATTGGATCTTGGACTTGATTCCAACCTCTACCAGGTTGTTCTGTGCTGCCCCATCGATCCTGGCCTCCACTTCATCTACTTGTGCCCTCCTTCCCCTCCAAATAAAATTCCTCTGTGGCAGCAGCGTTATTCCTCCTGCTCTGGAATTCTGTGGTCCATTGGCTGCTTCTTTCTATTTGTGTTTTGGAGCAGCTCCTGATGGAGTGACCCAGTGATGAATCCTGTTCCTCTTTATCTGCCCTGTCTGGAGCATCCAGCACTGCCCCTTCCCCTCCCTCCACTCCCTGCCCTGGATCCTGCCAATTCCAATGGAGTATTTCCATAAGACACTGCTCTTCAATAACGGCAAAATAAGATATCCCCCCACCAAAATCATTCCCAGCCACCTGAGCTCTGTCTGTCTGCACAGGACAAATCCCTCCCATTTAGGGCCTTCTCAGACCCCCTCAGTTACAGTTTTCTCACCAGGAAGCTTCACTATTTACCACAAAGTGTTGAGAATTAATGGAATTCTAAAAATTTCCTGATAGAGAGATGTTTTCCTGTGGTTTAATAGCAACTTCCCGTCTCACCCAGCTCTAGGTCTGTGTGGGGGAAATTCCATCTGATCTCCCTGTCCGCTAAATGATGGATGTGGGATCCACTTTCAAATATCTGTATCGTTAGGACAATATATTCTTACAGCTGGGAAATCTCAGGCTTAAAATGGGATAAACTTTGGGAGAGTACCAATGTTTCATCTCTTGTTCTGCAAAAACCACAAGGTTTCTGCCATTTCTCTCCTTTCTTTCTTTTCTTTTCTCCAAGTCCTGGCTGCCTTCGCTGACCACAGGGAGAAGTTGTGGTTACTCCAGGGAAGGAGGGGGGGAGAAAAGGAAAGTCTGCGGGCCAAAGGCATTTTTATGAGTGTGTCTGTGTAATCCCAGCCCCAGTTCCAAGTGACTGAGAGCCCTAATTATGCAGGAACTTTGGCAGCTAGAGATCAAGATATCTCTCTCAGTGCTCATTTATCTCCTTCACCGGGGTTGTCATTAGATTTAAATACTGTGTTTCTTCATGTGCTACTCTATGGCTCTGGCAGTACTTCTTGAATAGTCAGAAGTGCATTGATATCCCTGCTTATTCACTCTGTTCTGCCAGTGGGGCTTGTAAGGATCCTTCATTTATATTTACAATCTGTCTTTTCGAGACACCCTCAGGATTTTAGTAATTTTAGATTTTGCATTTTCTGCAGTTCATTTTCCCCCCCTTTTTTAAACTTCTTTTTATTTCTATTTTCTAAAGAGTTTATGGCTGCCTCATCTCAGAAGATGCATAAGGACAAATTGGATGGGGCTTGGAGAGACCTGGTCTGGTGGAAGGAGACCCTGAAGTCCCTTCCAGTGCCTAAAGGGGCTCCAGGAAAGCTGGAGAGGGACTTGGAACAAGAGCTTCGAGAGAAAAGACAAAGGGGAATGGCTTCCCACTTCTAGAGGGCAGGGATAGATGCAATAGTCGGAAGAAATTCCTCCCAGAGAGGGTAGTGAGGCCCTGGAATGGATTTCTCAGGGGATGGTCCATTCCTGGAAGTGTCCAAGGCCAGGATAGAGACTGGAGCATCCTGAGATAGTGGAAGTTGTTTCTGCCCATGGCAGGAATGGGATGATCTTTAAGGTCCCTGCCAACCCAGACCATTCCATGACCTTATTTTGAGCTGATTTAGATGATGCTGTGGGAATGTTGAGGAGTTTCCTTGAGTATCAGCCTGAGAACTGGGATTTATTAGTCCCATTTAGGGTTTGAGTTGAAGGTGGACAGAGGTGGATGAGGGTGGTGGAGTTTGGCAGGTTCCTGGCCCAGTTGTGCTCAAATAGCTCCAGTTTGGGTCTGTCTCTAAATTTCTGGATGTTTCCAACATGTCCATCCTGGTGCTCTTCTGGTTCCCTCATTGTCCACAAAGTCACATTCATGTCACTGTCTCAGAGACTTTTACAGGTGGGAGGAACTTCCCCACCTTCCCTTCCTGTCCCAGGGACTGCTTTGGATGGGCAGAACAACACGAGGGCCCTCAGTCCCTGCTCCAACAGCTGCACAAGTGGCCCAGGCAGGCAGTTTTAATGGATCAAGGTTTGGGATGCAATTTAAATTTATCCTTAAAATCCCCAGACAAAGAGTCAGGTTGATCCTGTGGTTGTAACACCCTGGTGCCATGAAAATCCATTTCCCTGGCAAGGATGATGGATGAACCTGTGATCCCTTTGTCTCAGCCATGTCAGAAAGAGGAAGGAATGACAGGAAGTTCCCCCTTCATCCGCAGGATGCGTGGACATCTCTTGGGATGCATCTCTGTTTCTGGAGCCAGCTTGACAGGTCCAGGTGTGGTTGGGATGTGCTGCCAAGGCTGATCCAGTGCCAGCTCTGATCACAACAGCTGCCCACGCTCCGGATTACGGCACGTGGGGTGGGATGGCTGCTCTCCTCACTCTGGCTCTGGGCTCCAGCTGATGGAAAGCTCAGAGTTCATGCCTGGCTCGCTTCAGCTGCTGCACATGGCAGGATTTTGGGATGGACACCTCTCTTACTGGTAGCACAGAGAGCTGTGGCTGCTCTCTTTCTGGGGTCACACTTCCTTCCATGATCCACAGCGATTACCTGGAGTATTGCCCAGTGCAGCTCCAGAATGAGGCACTCGCAAAGTGGGAAGAGCAGGGGTGGAGAGGGGAACCTCACTGGAGCCAGCACCAGCCCTTCAAAATCATAGAACCATTTAAGTTGGGATCATCAAGTCCAATGATTCCCTTGGCACTGCCAAGGCCACCATAGATTGTGTCCCCAAATGCCACATCCACACATTTCTTGGACACTTCCAGGGATGGGGACTCCACCCCTGCCCTGGGCAGCTGTGCCAGCACTGGACAACCCTTTCCAGGAAGGAATTTCCCCAATTTCCAACCTAAACCTGGCATAATTTGAGGCCATTTCCTCTCATTCTGTCATTCATAACCTGGGACAAGAGTCAGACCCCCATCCGGCTCCAATCTTTCCAGTCTCCTTCAGAAATTCCCTCCCCTATCCCCTGCTTTTAAAACCTGGTAATTGCACCATTTTTTTAATGTTCACCATAATTAATACCTGCAGGAGACAGAATTCTTAATCCAAGCCAGATTTTTATACAGGTTTATAAAAAGGGGGAAATCGGCTGGAAATCTGGTTGAATTTCTTCAGGAGATGTAGATAATGAGTAAAATTTAATTACAAAATTATCACAGAAGGGAGGTCTGAGATACCAGTTTGGCTGTTCCTGGTATAAGGTGAGGTAGGGATTTTGGTAGGCAAAAGCAGATTTCTCAGCTGTTTTTCTGGAAAACACTGTATTTCCAGATGAGAAAAGTCTTGCTGAGCATCCGAAGTCTTATCCACCTTGAGATAGTCCAGCTGTTTTAATAACAGCTCTAGCTGTTATGACCTCTAGCTACAAACCCCTAATTTAGGGAATTTATGAGGTACATTCCAAATGGAGGCAGGATTGCATCGCTCTGACCACAGAACCTCTGTGTAACTGATGCATTCTCAGCCTGGCTTCATCCAGCTCCTTTGGGAGGAAGAGGATCCTGCCAGGTGAAGTCCAGCTCCTCCTAAAGTCATGTAAAGGACAAAGAGGAGGTTCTTTCCATGGGGAAGTGGTTCCAGAGGTGGTTTTGGAGGAACCACATCTCTGTGACTTCTCCAGAAATTAATCCAGGCTGGAGCCTCCAAGTGGTGCTGTCAGCAGTAGGGTTTGGCTCTCAAACGCTTTTCCAGATGTCCATGGCCACTGAACGTTGTAAAGATGGGGTCTGGCACAGAGGTGGGGAGGGGATGGATCCTCCCCGTAAGAAGTAAAAGCTGCTCCTGGGATATTCTGTGAATGAGACAAGAACAGGAATGGCAAGCAAAGGGTTCAGTAGGTGCTCCTGGTGATGTGGTGAAGGGAGGTCAGACACCTCCAAGGACCATCAAGATCTTGTGCCCCTTGAAATACCAAAAGAGGTGGGGGAATATGGGAGAGAACGAGCTGTGGGGATGAGCAGGGATAACCGTAATTAAGGATGGAGGCTAATGAGATAAGGAGATCTGTCAGCAAAGCTCATGAGTCAGGCAGGATTTGGGGAATTTCACAACTACCCCACTGGGGTTGGTGTTTATCTGACCTCTCTGGGCAGCCATTAATTGCTGCCTGATGAACCAAACCCAATAACAACATTAGAGACCTGCTAATTACCACGGAATGGAGACGAGCTCCTCCAGAACGTATAAAGGAGAACTTCCATACTCCTTCAGAGTAGCAGAGGATCCTTCATTCTCATTTCTCCTCCTGTTTCACCACCTTCTTCACCGGCTCTCCCACCTGGAAGTGCTGCCATGAGACGATATTACTCCAGATTCGGGGACGGGAGCTTCAGTTCTTCTTCTGCTCACTGTGGGACCTTGGGTGGTGGAGACAGGAGATTTGGAGGGTTTGGGCATGGGTATGGCAGCAGGAGCCTCCACAACCTTGGAGGGTTCAGGAATGTCTATACTGGTGCAGGCTATGGAGGAGAAGGAGTAAGATATGGAAGATGCCTTGGGTTTGGTGGCTGGATACAACCTGAGAGGGGCTTTGGTGGAAGAGGATATTTCGTAGGAGGTTTTCAAAGTGGTGAATCAGGGCTTAGGGGCATCTACAGAGGAGGTTCAGGCAGGGAGGTGCTCAGAGGAGGCCTTGGAGTAGGGGAACAAGGGGCTGAACAGGGATTGGGACAGCCTGGAGTTCTCCAAGGCATTGAGGAGGTCCATGTCAACACCAACCTGCTGAGGCCAATACAGCTCCAAGTGGACCCTGAGTTTCAGCGAGTGTGCTCAGATGAGAAGGAGCAGATCAAAGCTCTCAACAACAAATTTGCATCATTCATTGAGAAGGTGAGTCCTGGTCTCTGTGCTGTTATCTGGGAAGGGGGAGGTATAAGGTAGGTGTGAGTCACAGGGTTCCATTTGTGTTCCATTTTCTGCCCCCCCAAAATCTCAGCATTGGCTGAATTCCCACAGGCTGCTGTGAAGCTCACAATGGATCACTGCGAATGCTGCTGTGTGAATCACTGTTTGCCTTGGGATAAAGATTTTGGAGTTGTCTTTTGTGGCAGGACAATAAACTGCCAGGATGTCACTGGCACATTGACTCACTTGTCTTTTGAGGAAAGGGAGTTCTGGGAATATATATTCCTATATTCTGGTACCTGGAGATTGCTGATGCCAGCAGGAAAAATGGGTGATGGATTTGGACATCTTGATGTGTTAGTATTTTTTCTCAAGCAAAGCCAAACCTTGCAAGAACAGACTGTTTTAATACCTCTTACTGCAGGGGTTTGCAGTTGCCAGAAATTGCAAGTGAATTTAATTTTTCTGAACTATTAAACAAATCACTTCTTGGTTTGGAAGCCCTGCCCTCTACTAGGTGGTCCATCTTCAGCTCTTTCATGACTTTCCATCTCTCCAGTTTTGTCTTCTCTTCTGCTTCTACTTAAACCAGCCACAAAAGCTCTTCCACCGTGGTGGTATCTGGGAGATGTCTCTGTCTCTGTGTCTCTCTGTTACATGTGAAGACTTCAGGCTTTCCTGTTTCATCAGACAGGAGATGTTAGTTACACTGAGGAGATTTCTGATTCTATTGTGCTGAAAAAGATGTGTGTCTGTGACTCTTCTTTCCTTCCTAAACTTTTGGGTGTCCAGATTATCACCTGGTCAGTATTATAGAAATTGTGGAGTGATTTGGGTTGGAAGGGACATTAAAGCTCATCCAGTTCCTGCCATGGGCAGGCACAACTTCTACTAGACCACTCTGCTCCATGGACTATCCAACCTAGTCTTGGACATTTCCAGGAATGGAACATCCCCTGGGAAATCCATTCCAGGGCCTCACCACCCTCTCTGGGAGGAATTTCTTCCCAATATTGCATCTATCCCTGGCGTCTACAGTGGGAAGCCATTCCCTGTGTCCTGTCCCTCCATCCCTTGTTCCCAGTCCGTCTCCAGCTCTCCTGGAGCCCCTTTAGGCACTAGAAGGGCCTCCAAGGTCTCCTTTCCCTTTTTCTCTTCAGGTGAACACTTCCAGCTCTCCCAGCCTGTCTCCATGGCAGAGATGCCAACTGGAGACATGCTGTCCCTTCTTTCTCTTCCAGGTTCAATGTCTGGAGCGCCAGAATCAGGCACTCTTGGCCAAGTGGGAACTTCTGCAGCAGCAAAGCTCTGGCCCCGAGGAGAGCAGGAACATCAATAACTTCTTCCAGTCCTATGTCACCAACCTACAGCGGCAGCTCGAGACGCTCCAGAGCCAGAAGGAGCAGCTGGATCCCGAAGCCTACAACATGCTCCAGCTTGTTGAGGATTATAAAAACAGGTGAATAGTCACAAATCTAGGACAACAAGTGTCAGGATTTACCCAGGTGATGCTCATTGTGCCCTTGGATGGTAAAGCTCAGCTTTGCATCTGCAGGAGTTTGGAGTTTCTTAGCATTGCTCTGCTGCAGGTGCATTACAGGTCTTGACTTTGATGCTGGAAGAGTTTGGTAAGGGTTGAACTCCCAAAAATGAGAGGAAAACCAAAGTTTGTGATGATGTCTCCCATCCTTTTTCCTTTCCAGACTCCTCCTCATCTTTCTCCCACCTAGCAGTGAGTGACCCAGGATTCCACTTGTGGGGCCCTGGTGGGGAGGGACAGAGCTGAGCTTGGGGTCAAGTTGGGAAGAGTTGTCACCTTTTCTGGCTTAGATAATTTATGTCCAGCCACAGTTCTGAAAATGGAAAGTTTAGTTCAGAATTACTAAATTTAGGACCGATCTGTAGTGACCCCATTTTTTGGGCTGCTTTAGTGCCTCCTTTTGCAGAGGGTTTGCACTTGCCAGAAATTGCAGTTAAAGTAAAATGAAAACTCAACACACTCAGTCTTTGGGTGATTCTGTTGTTTACTGGTCCACTTGACTTAAAAATTAAGATCAATAATTAAAGATAATGGATAGATTAATTAAACATATTAATTAATAATAGATAATAGATAATATAGATCATAATCTATCTCTTTCTGCCCCCCAGATTCGAGGATGAGATCAACAAACGCACCTCCAAGGAGGAGGAGTTTGTGGAGCTTAAAAAGGTGAATTAACCTGAGACCCTGAGCAAAATCAAAGCCTTGGAAATAAAACAATATCTGTGTGGTTGCCAAGGTTGTCAAAAGCTGAAGTTCTTGCTGAGCTTTGTCTAATTTTAACCAAAATAACAGAAAACCAGAAGAAGAGTGAAGAAGGATTATTTCCTCTAGAGAATGAATTGGTCCTTTGTAGGACAAATACCTAAAAAGTACACGTTTTTCCTTATTCACTCAATCCAGGTGGAATATCGTTATTATGTTAAGTAATGTCTGTAGATGGCTTAGAAAAATGAAACTATCTGTGAAGAGAAAATGTAGGCAACTTTTTACTAGAAGTATGAATAAAAATGGTGCTTTCCCATTTCTCATGTTCCACAGGAACAGATTTATTGCTGAAGTTGTGGTACTCATTTCCCAGCCATTTTTTTTCACCTTAAATGCTTTCTCTTTGTTCCCATTGCTTTTCAAATGAAGTCTGAGATCTCTAGGCTATTATTTGATCCCAGGAATGAAGGCTTTATGGAAATACTGCAAGAATTGCACTTCAGTGGAGCATTTGAATCAACAAAATGTTTTTTGGTTTTTTTTTAAAGGAACTGGATAGTGCCTACATGGGAAAAATGGAGTTTGATGTTAGAGTGGATATCCTGAAGCAGGAGCTGGAGTTCCTCCGGTGTTTATACGAAGCTGTGAGTGATTAAAATCTTACCCTCAGGTCTTGAAGGACACGCCTTCTGGAGCTCTACAGAAATTTTGCTTGGGTGGGATTCTTTGGCTTGGAGAATTAATTATCCTTGGCCTTTTGTGAATGAAAAGGGGCCTGGTGTGTCCCAAAGGCTGGAAGACCTTGAAAATTACAAGTGGTGGGAGTATAGTGGTACTTGGGGGCTGCTGGTGGAGAAATTCCAGTGGGAAATTTGCCACAAGGTCCTATTTTTTCCTCATAGAGACCTGGACTGACCACAAAGACTGCTAAAATCCCTAACCTGGTTTTCCATGCAGGAGCTGTCCCAGCTGCAAACGGTTGTTGGGAACACTGATGTTATTCTGTCCATGGACAACCACAGGGACCTGAACATGGATGGAATCATCGAGGAGGTCAGGCAGGAATATGAGGGGTTGGCCCACAGGAGCACAGCTGAAGTGGATGCCATGTACCGGGGCAGGGTGAGTGGACACCAGGAAAACAGGAACACAAATCTGGTCCTTGGAAAAGAAACCAAAAATGTGTTGTGTCTTCTTCCCATCAGTACCAGGACCTGCAGAACATGTGGGTGAATCAACGAGAGCAGCTGAGGAACAGTCACCAGGAAATCCAGGAACTTGCCAGGCAGATCCAAAGACTCCAACCAGAAATAGAAATTGCAAGGAAAAGGGTAAAGCTGATACTTTCCAGCAGGACTAAATGGTTTAAGCCCCTTTTCCATGGGATCTCAGTGCAGAATATGGCAGGAAGTCATTTGGAGGCAAACCTGGGGATGAAATTCTCTCTTCCAAATGAAGCAGATTTATATTTATGGGATCTATATTGGGGTTTAATTGTGTTAATTTACCCAGTCTAATGCATTTTTGTTGTTCTGTCATTGAGGAAAGCCTTTTGATTTCCAAGGAATGACAGAATGTGAAAATTATGGGATTTGGGGGTTTTCCTGTCCTGGGATAGGAGTTGGCCTCAATGATTCCTGTGGCTCCCTCCTGACTATAGATATATATGATTCTATTATAAAATCCTCCCCACAGATGGGACATGGTCACATTCCCTTTGTTCCCTCTGCAGAATTCCAGCCTCCAGGACTCCATCAAAGATGCTGAGCACCGTGGGAGTTCGGCCATTAGGGACGGCCAGGAAAAGCTGCAGGAGCTGGAAAACGCTCTCCAACAAGCCAAGGATGACCTTTCTCAGCTTGTCCACGATTACCAGGAGCTCCTGAACGCGAAGCTGGGCCTGGACATTGAGATTGCCATGTATCGATCACTCCTTGAGGAGGAGGAGAACAGGTGGGGGCAAAATCCACCCTGGGTGAAACACCCAGAGAAAGCAAGTGTGCATGGATCTGTCACTGGGATCTCTGGGATGGACTGGGCCTGGGAGGAGTCACCTTTCTGCAGATCATTGATAAAGCCTAACCTGAATTTTAATTCTGAGTCTATTGACTGCTTTACCTCAATATCGCTTTTCCACCACAGGATCCAGGAAGGATCACCGGCCACAATCTGTGAGTATCTCAAAGATTTTCTCAGGGTTTTTTAAAGAAAACTTCCTACTTTGTGGTCTTGACACCATTGGAACAAACTATCCCAGTTCCCATTTAATTCAGGAAAGGATGCAAAGGGGAGTTTGTGAACATACATTAATGTACATTAATGTAACAACTGGCTTTAGAATTCTTGGCTAATTCCTAGTAAATATGGGGGAAATGAGAAACACTGCATTTAACTCATAGGTCTGTTTGATGCAGGGCAGAAAGGAAGGAAATAAAAACTAGTCCTAAATGTTATGGAAAAGTTGAGGAGCTGAAGGAGAGAGAAATGCAGTTTTGGCCTTTGTAAGGGATGGATTGCATTAAGTACTCATGGATGGAATAAATTACGTTTTTTAAAAAGCTAAAAAACCCAGAAAAATTAGAAAATATTCCATAGGTTAATCGCTACTAAGGGAGATTCTGGTTGGCCTCTTAAAGAAAATTCCATGACCACCCAGGTTGGAAGGATGATGCTAAAACCAGCCTTGCTCAGAATTCTTTGGGGCAAAAAGAATAAATAGAATGTAATTACCATTTCTTGCAGGTGTCATTGACCACAATGCCGGAGCTCCTGGAGTCTTTGGACGCATAAAAATTGTGAAGGGGAGAATGTGCTCTGATAGTACAAGTGGGAACATAATAAAAGGGCCAGTCTCAGGAGGGGGAAAAGGTGGAAGCTCTGGAGGGTGGGGGTCCAGCTCTGGTGGTGGTGGGTCGATTTCTGGAGGAGGAAAAGGCTCAGGATCTGGAGGAGGAGGAAGCTCTGGCAGTGGAGGCTCCATCTGTGGAGGAGGAGGAAGCTCTGGTGGAGGAGGCTCCATGTCCAAAGGCAGCAGCAGCTCTGGAGGGTGGGGGTCCAGCTCTGGTGGTGGTGGATCGATGTCTGGAGGTGGGAAAGGCTCAGGATCTGGAGGGGGTGGATCCAGTTCAGGTAGCGGAGGCTCCATGTCCAAGGGCAGTGGTAGCTCTGGACGTAGAGGATCCAGCTCTGGTGGAGGTGGCTCCAGTTGTGGAGGAGGGAAAGGATCAGGATATGGGGGAGGTATTTCAGGCAGTGGAGGCTCCATGTCTGGAGGTGGCCAGAGCTCTGGTGGTTATGGATCCAGCTCTGGGAGATGTAGCCCCCAAAGTGGGGGGATGAGCTCTGGAG